CAATTCAAACCTTTGCTCCCCATTTTCCTAACATTTCCTATCCTTTTTCCTCGCTTGTGACTGTATGTTTGACACTGTAACAAGGACAATTAAGCCAAAATAAAATTTTAAGGAAAATCTTTTCTAAAATAGCATAAAAATTTGAGAAATTAAAAATGACCCAAATTGTAGGAGGGAATTGGTAACTAGCTGAGGTTGGGAAAATATCTCAAAGATCAGCTCAAATCCAAATACCCAAATTTTGAAGGCACAAATTGCCCCTCCATATATAAACTTCAACACACCAATTGACAACCTAACCCCTAACCCTTCACTCTCCAAAATTTTCTTCGTTTAAGGTATATTTGACTCTTTTCCTAAACTTAAAAGTTTGTTGTTTTGAATTATCCAAACTTCATGAAAGATACTTTATGAGATTTCTTTAGGTACGTTTGTTGATATTCTTTTCAAATATATTTAGATGTATGAAAAATTGACATTATTTCCCCTTGCCTTCAAAATGCTAAGCTTGTGTTATAGTGTATCTTGTTGTGTCAGGAAATTTCATAGATAATTCTGCCAAGATTTTATATGCAAGTATACCAATATATATATATATTCCAATCATGGTTAAATGGGTTGCTTCTAATTGAGTACCCTAATTAACATAACATAAATCATTGATAAAAATGTGAAAGGGTACTTCATTTAATAGACATAAGAACACAATTCTTCAAAAATGAAAAATTAATAAATAAATAACATCAACTTTCCAATGACAGACAATGGAAGACCGGTTAGATGCTCATTGAATTTCAAATTGTGCTGGGGTAAATTTTTTCTGATCTTCTCAAAAGGAGATAACCAACATTTTTCGAAACCACCGCAACGATCAACAGAGACACCAAATTATCTTCCCTGAAATTTTCAAATAAAATGATCATTAATAAATGGTAAACCTCACATACCCTTTTATCATGTAACTTTCAAAAATTAAGAAAAATTAAAAAAACAAGTAAATGAAATGAGAAACATAACACTATAACTATGATACTGAGAAATTGCCCCATACCAACCGATAATGGCTACCGGTGCGGTTGGTATGTATCAATTTTAGAAATGCCCGAAACCAACCGATAGGGGTTATCGATTGATGTCGTGCAATCAAGCTACTGTAAAAGCGTACGATACACCCTATGGTCGGTTTCCATATTCACAAACACCCACAGAATTCAACGATAGACCTATCCTCATCATTGTTGTGCGTTTTTTTACCGTCAAGACAATCCGAGCCATCATGCCACAATCGCCGGATTAACACCATCACTGAAACCATTCAATCAACCCATCCGAAACCCAAATACCCAAGTTTAAATAAATCTTACTAAATTCACTGATCTGAACCACAACCACTATATTGCAAATGAATGTACGAAAGTGAAGTCGTGAAATCCAAAACCATTACCTTCCAATCGGCTAAGTCATACTGTCACTTTGTTTCGCAGAAAAGGAACTCGACGCCCACCACTTCTCTCCAGCAACCGAATCATGCCTTATATGCTTAATTCAACTGGTAAATCGATCGATCAATTTGCTCACTTTCTCAAGTGATTTTGATGTGCAAAAATGGGTGTGCAGGGAAGACAAACAGTTCCACGAAAGAGATTTCAAAGAATGCATATTTGGTTTTATATATGCAGGGTATTATGTCTTTCAAAACTTCAGAGACTTAGGGAAAATATTTTGGGTTACCCCTCATAGTTCAGCACTTTCTACCCTTGCGCTAATTTTCAATTTCCCAATTGTTCATTTTTATTTTTAGCCGTCAAAATGGATTACTCTATCAGTCCAATATACATCGCCACCTCATTAATAACAACCGTTTTCCACGTTCAAGGGACGAATGACAAATAAGGAAAACATCCACCTTAGTAAAGAACGTATCACTTACAGAAAGAAACTTCATGAGCACGCATCTTGGTCACCTAGCTTAAACCTGAAGAATTTCCCATTCTGGCTGTTGTTGTTGTTACCATAACTGCGCACAACGTTCCATGGGAGATACCACCACCAACAGCAACAACGATAACAGCGGCAAAACGATGTCACTTCCACTTCCTTCTGGTTTCCAGTTCTACCCTTCCGATGAACACTTCTCTGTTATTACCTCACAAACAAAAACGCAAACGCGGATGAACCGGTAATCCTCGGTTATGTTTGATAAAAGAACTAGATTTGCATGAGTACCAACCGCACGAGTTACCGGAGAAGGCGTGTTATACTACGGTGACAGAGGAAGGGGAGGCACTGGTACTGTTACTGTAAGTTAGGGTTAAAATGGAAGAAAAGTTGGAGCAAATATGATATTGGAGAAAGAAAGGGAGAGTTGAGAAGTAGTGAAGAGTAACAATAGAGGAGGAAGATTATTTTGGGGAGCAGAACGAGATTTGTATTTTATTTGGGGATTCTTTAGATACTGCCGTGAGGACTATTGGGTCATGCTGAGTATGCACTTGTTCACCATGTCAAGGTATTTAATTTGGATTGTTGAGATTAGTGAATTCAAGTTCTGTTTTCAGAGTTTCAATTTTATGATCAGATGAAGTTTGTTTTATTTTGGGCGGACTGCTTGATTGTTATTGGTTGAATGTGGAACTGTTACGGACATGTGAAGTGAAATGTTAGTGATTTCTTTTAGTATATTTGTTTGACTAAAAGTGATTTATCAAATGCTTGAAAAAGAGGTTTGTGTTGATAATAAGGAAATTATGAAATACTAGTTGCAAATTAGTTCATTGTTTTCAGGATTTTAGATGATTACATCATTTTATCTGGGATTTCTGCTGCTTAATTTTTAGTTTTACTTTTAGAATTATTGAATTTTCTGTCAGCCACTCTCAGCAATGTGTTGTATGTTTCAGTAATTTGGGAAGTTTTAATGGCAGATATTCTGTATATAGTCCTTGTCAAGCAGATTGAAGTATAGTTAAAACAAAAACTCTGCCTCTTACTATCTTCACTTTAATTTGAAGAATGTATTAAGCTAGGAAAGTGGAAACTTCTTGTACAAGCTACTGGTTTAGCCCTATTTTTAACCTCAAATTGTAAAAAGCAATAAATCCAAAGCTTTCCCTTCTCTCATATTCTACTTATTGCTTCCATTTGTTGACCTCTAAAAAGTTTGGCAATGGTTGGAGACTGGCAAGTAATGGTACTTGCTGACACAGCTCTGGCCATATGATTATTTATCCTCCATTTAGTTGGGAAATTGACTAGTTTACATTTTTATTTATCTTTATTCAGAACATAATGACAACCTAATTTTGTGTGTCTTATACCAATCAGTCTGATTTGTGTTACCTTTTAGTTGATTTTCATTTGTTGCTGCTGGGAACCTAATATTTCCACCTGCCTGCAACCTCTTTTGTCCTCTGCCGAGTATTTCTTAAATCTCCGGTGGAAATACTTATCAGAGATTGGTTTAAGTTCTGTTGCAGAAGAAAGTGTTTCTGCTGTACGTCACATTGGTGTTCAGCATGATGGATTCTTACACCTGACATTGTCGAAGCTAAAGAGCAAGATGACAAGCTGTTGACAGAAAAAGATACACCAAAAACAAATGAAATGGGTTAGTCAGCTAGATATCGTGCCAGCTCTAGGCCTGTTTCTCTTACCCACTTCAATTTCCAGCACATCCCACCCAACAGCAGGTAACTTCAAATCTTTTCCCTATTTGTTTAAAATAGTACCATTTTTTCCGTTTATGTCTTGTGTTTAGTTTTTGGCACCAAGAATAATGGCTTTCACAGTTACACTTCCCTTCACAATGAATAGTTGCATTTTTGTAATTTAGGTGCTTTATGTTGGATGTTCGTGTGAGGCATATGAACCAAACCACATGCAGAAGGGTTGTATCATCTGTTGCTGTTTCAGCATGTTGATAGTGGAAAATAAATTTTGGAGCAATTTCTAGCGCATTAAACACCATTATTTTTGGCTGCTATGGGTTACATGTATCTGTTTTTGCTGACAGCTAATAGCAACTTGCTATTGCAAGCAAATTCTTGTGAAAGAAGTTGATGAAATTTATTAAATGCACCTGGTATAATTTGTGCCATACTACAAATCTTGCCACTGAGGTTTAGCATTTGCTGTCCTTTGGAAGCTTTTTACCCCATTGGTTTCTCGTTTTATTCTACTTAAAAAAAGGTTCAAACTCTCGTGACTTTTTAGCTATCGTAAAGGGACCCCCACATATTTTAGTGGTTTTTTTGGGTTATCCACTTTCTTAACCTCAATAATACACTGTGCATGTGTGAAATATACCCATTTTCAAACATTTATATATGAATCATGCCATTCTTTAAATATTCTATGTGCTATGCTGCCATGCGGTTGGTTCATCTGGGTTTGGTAGTGGTGGTATTTGTTGATGCTGTTGCGCCCAGCAATTACTATCATCTGGAGGAAGATTTCATAGAGTTGGATGATCTTGGCATTGATTGTCCATGATAACTTTGAAGTATTGGTGATACTAATCAAGATACGTGAATTAATTTACTGTTGTACAATGCAAAATGTGATGAATTAAGTTACTGTTGAACAATGGAATGGTAACTATTAATGTTGTTACAATGAATGATGTAACTATGTTACTGTTGATACAATGGAAATGAGGTGAACTATGTTACTGTTATACATGAGAAGGGTGACTATTACTGTTGATACAATGGAAATGAGTGAATTAAGTTACTGTTGATATAATGGATCTGAGATAGGATTACTTCCAGCAAAAGAAGAGGGTTTTCATGACCCAAGAATTACAGGCAGTTTTCTATTGCGAAACTTCTGAAACTCTAGATGAAGAAATTACTGGCATTCTTGAAATTGAGAGGATTTCATAGCGGGACTGCTTTGCCTGTTAAGGTAACTCTCATGTTATGTTGCAATATCTCTTTTGTTATTAATTTTTTCTTGTAAATTGAATTCAACTAAACAGTTGGCAATTTTTTGTGCTTCAGATTTTCTTAATGTCACAGGCATTTTCCCCTAATTAAAAGGATAAAGAGCTTGATTGATTGGATGATGGCAAGTCGAAGCAACTTTAGTATCAGCTGCTTCACCCAGCTTGTTCATCTTAAAGTTAGTCTGTTTGATGTGGAGTTCTTTATCACTTTCGGTGGTGGAAAAATCAACTTTTCACCTCGTTACTCTGAAGGCTTGCTTTGGCAAGGCTTTTATTCCTTACAACTGTTCTGTTTTATGCTTATGAACTTTCGTTGTGCAGAGGTAGATAAAGTTATCTCAATTATGGATTTTTCTGGAAGGCCAACTTACTGCTTTGGCTGATGAAATTATCGTAAGTTATGGATTCTAGAAACTTTCTGCTGTGGGACATATTCAGATTCTTCAAGTATGGTTCCTTAGTGTTTATTCCCTTACTCACAGCAGACCTGTTATAATGGAAGTGCTTAAGTTATTGTATTACTGAGATGGTGACAAATCTTTATAATTACCTGAACTTGATAATAACTGACTTGTCATGATTTTCTCATAATCTCGATTGGTGATATGTTTTTTTCGTTTGTTTTCTTCATTGTTGAACTGTAAAGTCCCTATATAATGACATAATTGTTAGCTTGTGATTGCCATTACGCTGGTTCATATGTTTTTTTTCGTTAAGTGCACAAAAATTAGTAATATTTATGATTCCCCTTCTGGGATGGAATTTTGGTTGTCCTCTCAGTTAATGCACAAAATTTAGTATAATTTTTTTTTTTCCATCAGTGATGGAATAGATTCTTGGTTGTTCCTCAGATCCTCTATTATTCTCCTAAAGCATCATTTAGTTGCCAGGAAAAGGGAGGAAGAGAAAAACTTAGAAGTCTTATAATTATGCAAATTATTCTATTTTTGCTTGATTTTTCAGCGTCGGATGAACTATTAGTTTTTTGGTTGCTGGGTAATGCTGGTTAGTTATTTCTTAACGAGGGGTGCTGCAAATGGGGAAAGAATAGAGATCCATTAGGTTACCTGTTGTTCTATTTCGGTTTTCCTTCCTTGGTATTTTCCATGTCGCTGCTTAGCTTCTAGCGTTACACTGGTACTGCAAAAATTTGCAATATTAATATATTAACCAATCGATCTGTAACTAAGACGACGGGGAGACATGATAGATTATGCCTAGATTGCCGGGAGATATTTCTATGGATTTGCCTAGCCTTGTAGGATTAGGAAATTGAAGAGCGAGGAGAGGAATTGTGAGAGTTGGTCTTGAGTCAAACCGAACACGTAGAGACAAAGATTTTAATATTGTGTTTTAGTTAGCAATTTATTTAATGCTTTTAATTTCCTGTAAGTAATTAGTTTCCTTAGTTTTAATCAATCATTTTGCCCATTTCTCTTTCGATAACTCAAATATACATTAGGTCGTTAGTCTTGCTCTCTGTGGACTCGACCCTGCTTACCGCTAACTACGGTACTTAGGTTTAATTTTGTGACCATGACGACTGGTCTAACAAAATTTTGGCGCTGTTGCATCAGCTTTCCTATTTTCTCCCCGACCAGACATATTGCTTGAAGTGCCGTGATCGAGACGGCGGAGTGCCGCCAATGAACTCTCTATTCGAAGATATTTTTCTGCGAGATTGTAAAATCTGGTGAGGGAAACATCGTCCTCAGCCTGCAATTCTTTCCACAGGTCGGTTTGCGGGCGAACTCCAGCTATTATAAGTGTTCGGATAGACTCTTCTGGGGCATGAGCCACCTTGTTGAGTTCCCTGTGGAAACGGTCGATGTAAGATTGCAGGGAATCGTCTCTTTCTTGCCTTATGTTGCTGAGGTAGCTCAAAGGCATCGAAAACTTCCGATTTGCTTGGAAATGTCGTAGGAACGTCGTGCTCATCTGAGGCCACGAACTGATCGATCCCGCTGGGAGTGACCTTAACCACCGCTTGGCGTGAGAAGTCAGCGTCACAGCCAAACAACGACATTTTGCAAGGTCCGAAACCTGGTGGAGCTCCATCAAGTCGTTGAACTCATACAAATGATCCTGCGGGTCATGGTTCCCATCAAACGGTCGCATGTCGAGCATTCTGAACCCCGGTGGGAGTGGAGCAGCTAGCACTTCGGGAGAGAAAGGGGATGCAGAGGCGACCTGGGCCTGTTCGTTTTGTTGCTCCCTTAACCTGTCCAGAGCTCGCTGTAGCTCCTCAATTTGTGGTAACGGAGACAATTGGGGGTTGCTTTCACCCATGCGAGTCCGGCCTTCACGATTACTGTTCAGGAAAGTCCAGAGGTCGGACTCCTCCTCGCCTTGGCTGGCATTTCTAGCCACACTCGACACATGCTGACTAGAGGCGTGTGAAGGCGATGGATTTCGCGAGGCATTTTCACGACCCTTGTGGTGGTACGAACCGTCCCGCGAGGTGTGGGGACCACCCGCACGATAATGATCGGGATCGTTCTGCTGGCGGTGATAGGAATCGTTGCGCTCGGCACTTTTGCTTGGGTTCACCTGGATATGGCATGGGACAGCTCGAGATTCACTTTTTCGCTGAGTCTTAGCTTTGCCGGCACCCTGCTCGGGGCACAGTTTGTGTTCGCTAGTCCTTGGTAGCCCGTAGGCTTACTTTTGGCCACTTGCTTACCCTTACGTCTACGCGCTGCAGTGCTCGCGGCACGGGCTATTTCCCTTCCCCTCGCTTTCGCGCGACCTGCAGGCGTTTTTTACGGTTGCACCGCCCCAGCTGTTGTAGATGACATGCCTTGGTCCAAATGGTCCAGCCTTTGGTTGACCGTCTAGAGAGTGTTGTCGAACCTCTCCAGGTAGCTTCTGATAGCCGGGTCAAGCTGCGAAGCTGCCGGAATATCCACCGCAGCATTTTGTGAAACTGGAAGTATCCTGGAAGGGATATCCCCCTGGGTCGGGGGAACTCCCCCAACGCGCTGGTTGGCTTGCTCAGGTTCAGATTGGCGGGCCATTTGTTGCTATAGGACCAGTAGGTTATTCTCCTGATGAAGGATAAACACTAAATCAGGGCTCTCCTTCTAGCGCCAAACTGTTGATGCGAGATTCTAACACCAACTAATCGACACGTGCGCAATGTTGATTGGTCAAGAAACACACGTGATTATGGATAGAGAATGCGAAATAAATGCAATGAGAGCTTTTTAAAGTGGTTCAGATGCTAAGGTAGCAAGTCCTACGTCCACTGATTTGTATTAATATTGTGGGTCAGGTCGCAACAGCGGACGCCGGACTGACTTACAAATGATTAGGAAAAGTAAATACAAAGTTTTTTAGAGAGAGAGTTCCAGTGTAAAATGGCCGAATCCCCTTAATGAAGGGGTCTTCCTCTTTTTATAACAAGATGAATGCATGTAATCATCATTAAATCCATGGGTTGGTGTGAATGTCAGGACATAATCCGGCTTTACGTCCCATTGCCCACTTCCCAAGCTGATTTCACGCGATTTGGAGCAAGGAAACGGACACGTGGGAGTTCCATAGCTTTTGGCAGACCTGACGTGCGCTTACCGTTCTGACGGGAGCAGGTCACGCTTCATCACGTGACTTCCCACGTCAGCCCCCTGATTTCCCAGGCATAACAAATTATAAGTTGGGGACAATGTATTTATAATTAATTAATAATATTAATTCCGATTAATTAATACTGTTATGACTAAAAAATCAAAGGCTGACGTGGAGTTGCGTGACGAAACGTGGCTTGCTCCCGTCAGAACGGTAAGCGCACGTCAGGCCTACCAAACGCCCTGGTGCTCCCACGTGTCCACTAACCTGCTCCAAATCGCATGAAATTGGCTTGGAAGATGGGTAATGGGACGTAAAATCAGATTAGGTCCTGACAATCACACCAACCCAAGGATTTAGTGATGATTACGCACATTCAACTGGGTATAAGAAGAGGAAGACCTCTTCATTAAGGGGATTCGACAATTTTACACAAACTCTCTTTCTCTCACGCTTTTGTATTTATTTCCCAATCTTTTGTAAGTCAGTCCGCTATTGTGACCTGACCCACACTATCAATATCAATATAAATCAGTGGACGTAGGATTTGCTACCTTAGCATCCGAACCACTTTAAAAACTCTCATAGCATTTGTTTCGCTTTATATACTCATTATCACGTGTACTTTTTGACCAATCAACACTACGCATGTGACAATTAGTTGGTGCCAAAATCCAGCATCAACAAATACTGATTTTTTTTGGGTGATTTATAAATTATAATTTCACAAATTTTAAGCACGGTAAAATAAGTGAAAAACCACAGATAACTTTGGCGGGTAGTAATTCTGAGACGTGTCGTTAGTCGGTTACTTACTCATACGTAATACCCGATTATCTCTTAACTGGAACCCCCCCAGAGAAGTGGCAGCCTGACAGGTGTCTATCATCAGACAGTTCGCGTTCGTTTTGAAATCAATCTAGGGTTTCTTCTAGTAACTTCGCTATATAAACCGCACAGTTGTACTTTAGCCGGTGCGGTGCAGTTTGTTCTGCCCTCCCTCTCAAAAACCTTAAAAAATATTTTGGTTTCTTCCTCCGTCGAATTCCGTCAGATTCCGTTCGGATCTCCGACGATCTATCCCACTTACCTTTCCCTCTCCTCTCCTATCTTCTAAAATCTCAAAAAAAAAAAAAAAACAAAAAAATCAAAAGAAGTAGACTACAAAAATCCTCAGTTTCAGCGTTTTGTTCTCTTGAATTTAATTAGAGTCAGATTTACTGTCTTGTTATCTCTCTAGGTTTTAGCTTGAAAAGTTACCAGAGGAGAGGGAAACAAAAAAACAGAGAAAAAGCGGAAAAAGAAAAATAAAAAAAGAGAAAGAGAATCTAGAATTTGGCGATGGCGCAGATTCAGGTTCAGCATCAGGCACCAATATCGGGCCGAACGGAGTGGCGGCTGGAAACCAGTTCCTTACGACGTCGCTTTAGGTTGGCGCTCTCGATTTTATGTGACCGATTCGCAACTCTCGATCTGTTTACCAGGTCGGCCAAGTCGTATCGGTCAGGGTTTGTCGGGACCTAAGCACCAGAGATCACTTGGCTATGGTTATGTTATTATAGCA